ATATATATATATACCTTGTACCCAGCGAATTTGAATTCTTAGAGCTTAAAATGTGTAAAGTGGAATTATTTAGGATTTAAAATATCATTCCTAGGATACTATTAGATACTATTGAGATCTCCAAACTAAGTTGAATTATGTTTTTATTTTAATTACTCTTACCAGCTTTTTTATAGTTGCCCATAAATAATATTGTTCCTGGAGGGAGGAGGATAACATCAACATTTAGGATAAAATTAAAACATAAACAGATCAAATTCTTTTACATCATTTTTCTCTTTTTTCATTAAAATAAGTTCAAATCTAATATTATTTTAAAAGGGTTCTCCTTTTAACTTTTAAAAATGTTAAGTTTCCTAGCAAAATTATGTTTTAACAAAATAAAATAAAATTTCGAAAATACATTAAACTTATCAAATATAAATTTTTTTTCATTTAATATGAAAAAATCTTGTTGTTAAAAATGAGATAGATTGTATTCAATGTGTAAATAAAAGAGAAAAATAACAAGAAAAAAAATATAAACATAAAAATAAAACAAAGTCAACAAAAAAGTATCCCTTACTACGATCACTGGTTACCCATGGATGCAAATGTTTCTGGATGGACTCCGTTGAAAGCATTTCAAATCATGGGTTGCAAAAACTGTCTCCATTGATATCTGTCATATCCTGTACGTGTTTCAAAATACTCTCCCTTCGTCACCATTCATATTCATATTAAAATCATTGCCAAGCCAGTCATTACACGTTAATAATGAAAAGAATGCAAAAATACTTTAAACTATTATTATTTAAATACAATGAAAATGTCTGTTAGCTAAAATAAAATGAAAAACAGCAGCGGTTGCCTCAGCAACGCATGCAATGACGACGCATGCGCACTGTTTACTCTTGAACACCATTGAAAAGTGTGTGGACGAAATTAAGTCCAAACCATGACCCATTTTGACAATGGGTAAAAAGATCAATTTAAAAATTGCATACAGAAAACATCTAATTAAAACTTAATATCTATTTACCGAAAATTACAACATAGCTTTTATATTAAAGAAATTATTTTTCCACACTTTCTATGCCATCGAAAAAAGTGTTGATGCTTGAGATATTTTTAAAATGAAAGAAATTGAATGCATACCTAGGAGATCCAGAAAATCTTCACCAAAGTTTAGTAAGTATTCTGCCGAGCAACTATCGGGAAAGCACATACCAACACTGAGAGGTAAATTGGAATACTGAAAAGATCCATTTATTTCGTTATTCAATGTGCATTTCATTTAAGTGCCTTATAGAATGACAAACTGTGGTGAATTTAGTGTTGAAAAAAAATCCCAAAAGTTGAATAATTTATTTCAAGTGAATTTATACACAATTTAAAACACCTATTTTGTAACTGAACAACCGACCCAATTTTCGGCGACTTCAACTCCTTGTCATTTTGAACCAATCCCCATGATTTGCTATGGAGATTTTGTGACTAGACATTGCAATCGCGATATTGTACAGAAATCATTAAAAGTTTTTAGTTGTACTATATTAAAGATTTACATAAATCTGTCATTTAATATTAGTTAACCGATTTTTACCAATTTTTTTGAAGAAAAAAAATGCAAAATATTAAATTTTTTTTTTAAATTTTATTATTAAATAAAAGGAACTGAAACAAAACATAAGTTGAAATTTTAATTTTTTTACGCGTTAAAAACATTTAACATACCACCAGTTTATTACCCCAAGTTGAAAAGAAAATAAATCTTTGTATGATAGTTTTTAAAACAACAGCACAAAAGTGTTTTCCTATGTAAATTCAGCAACCCAAACAAAATTATTTTTGACACCTCTTGCCAAATAAAAAACGTTTTCTCGGGATACATTGCAATGTCAACTCTGAGGGATATTGAGGTTTAACTATTTGGTGTTACCACCATTTATGGCTGTGCAGGTTCCATTAAATGAATGTATACAGAATAATGGCTGAATTTCAAAATAAACCTTAGTTAGACCTTTTTCTTAATAAGCAGTTCCACAGAATGATTATGCGCATTCTTTAGAAGAATGTTAATCAATAGAGGCTGAGAAATTTTCTTCTATTCGACGTCAAACATTTTTCAAAAGGTGGTCGCTCCCAACAATTTTGTCAGGAAACAAGTCGAAAGATTGGACCCCTTTAAAAACAATTCCATTTTTTGCCTATTTCACCATTTCTCGAAAATTTTTTTAAAGAGTTGAAAATTTTTTGTACGCAATTATTGTAGTAACTAATGCCAATTTCCTCACATAAGTGACCAATTTTAATATTGGCCACTTATGGGAGAATAATATTAAAATACATAAATTGGGGCACTTGACTAGATCAATTTAACTCTTATGCGCTTTAAAATGCATTTGCCAGTTAGTCAGCATTTTAAAAAGTAAAACGGGTGCATTCTCACACGATTAATATAAATGGATTTACACTTTGACTTTACAAAGAGTTTTGAAACGACTTTTCAAGAAAAGAATGTATGAATCTGGTATTCTTAACAGTTAATAAATTTTTTAGATTGGCTCTATAAAATTTTATTTTTGATTATTTCCCTAACATTTACTTCTTTAAATAAATATTAGAAAATTATTCTTGCAGTTTAATTTTAAGACATAGTTGCTATTGTCATAGTTGTATTATTTCGGCTAAAGCATACTTATTATGGACAGTTGGTAAATTTTATGGTAACAATGATTTTACCTTGGAATTTTAAAATATATTTTCGATAGAAATATGATTTTTACATTGTTTCGCGTAAATTTTATGATACCTGACCGACCAACCGAGTGAAAGATTTACCGGGGCAACGTTTTAGGACCATTCAAAATGTACTTACTTTTTTAGATACGTTCATGGTCCACGATGTGACGCAATACTGGCCATTGAAACCTCCATGGCGACCTGTACTGTCTTCTGGTGCATAAACATCCACGCATTCTCCAAAATGTCCAGGCCATATAACACCACCTCTGAGCAAACCACTTTCAAGTTTTCCATCAGAATCAAGCACTGCAAGAAAGCACTGAAACTTAATTGGATGAAGATTATTTTCTTTTGTTCCAAAAATGCAACAGGGTATTCGTGCAAGGAGGTGGCGTTCTTTAATGTTTTAAACTTTTTATTTCTTCATAGCAATAGAAAACAAATTTTTATCTAGACTAGATTCATGTCCAACTGTCGAGCATAAAACCTAATTTTATTTGCGTCCCACTGAGCTGCTCAATGGGCTATTTGGTGACGGTCTCATCGATCAGAGGACATTATCCTCTGCAGAGGCTCCCTTGCTTTGGTAGCCCCCGAAAACCTGCTCGGTAGAACAGCATAACCACGCAGGTTGATCAAAATGGCCCCTACATGCTTGATTACTGGAAAACCCATCTTTACGATGAGTCCAACTGCGGGGATTATTAATGATAAAACGATTAAAACATTCCATTCACCTTATATAATTATAACAGTTTTATAGCACTAATTGAACAGCCGACCCAATTTTGGTTTAATTCCGTAGCTTTGTAATTTTGAATCAGATGACAAGGAAATTTCAGCATTGAGAGAAATTGGGACTTTTTGATGGAACTGTACATGGAAAACCTCCCACTGTTAGCCTGACGACAACTCTAACCCATTATCCGTCTGCCATTGAGTATATTTTAAGTAATCACTGGAGGCTGATTCATCTCACGGAGAAAAAATAGTCAATAAGTTGTTTTTAATGACGTATACAATTATCTTTATATTCCTTAACTATGAAGTCCACCGGAAGAAGCTTTATTATTTAGGGTTCCGTAAGTGAACAAAAATTGGGCTCTAGATTACTATGTAAATTATTATTTTTGTTACAAAAGCTAATAATGATGAATCTCTTCTGTATTTTTGAAATATGAAGAGAAAACTCCGTCGAATCAAAAATGTATGGAAATTTGTATTGGCATTCAATTTAATTTATTTATTTTATTACTCTTCTTACAACAATTAGTAAAATATGACTTACAAGAAAAGAAAGAATCAAAAAAGTATCACAACTTCCAAAATTAATAAATTGAAATTTTTAGAATCGTTATGAATATTTTTACGGCTTTTTATGATGAATAGTAATATGTAATTAGATTATGAGTTACGATAATTATTATAAGGTCGGCAATATTTTGAATGAAGTATTTCTTAAAAATAGTTGAATTTAGTTTATTATGGTTCATATAAACCAGAATTTAAGTAATTGATTACAAGAAGTCTATACAATAAATGTTAACTACTATAGGTAATATTTTTAGTATTATACTGTAAATATTACCGATTGAAACTATATTTTTAATGAGATATGTAAAACCAATGTACTATATTTTCGGAAAAGATAAAATCTTGTGAATACAAATAAAAAGTTGACTGATTATTATGAAAGCACTTTACCTAGCATATTAACTTGGGTGCAGAATCAAGAGTTTTTCAGAATTCACCTAGGTAATGTGAAAAAGTTTGCTTCTGTAACTCTAATGTGTTGAGTGCACACTTGATTCTTTATCTATTGAAAAATAAATAAATTCCCTTAATTGTAATATCATTCTTTGCCGTATGGAAGACCCTATCCAAACACCGAAATCAAGCATCACCACTTAGAGCAGTCTGCGGCAGGGGTTCTGCAGGGGATCGAAACGGTGGAATCAGGCAATACAACAAAAACTCTTTTTTTAAAAGCTATCCATTATAAGCGTGTTATTATTATTTTGATTGCTTTAGACAGAAAGTAAATAACATTATATTAATTTAGGAGATAAAATCAGGTGCTGATTATTTAGGCTACTCTTTAGCATATGAAAAGAAAGAGAAATGAATGGAAGCCATTAGAATAAGGAACCAATAATTTTAAAGAAAAATAATAAGGAACAATGTTAGAATTTTTTTCATGCGTAAGAAACATTTAATTTAAAATCAGCCCCGAGTTATTTCGGACAAAAGAAAAAAAAGTTAAATATGTGTATGATAGTTCTTAAAACAAGGGACAACACAAAGTGAAGGAATATGGCTGTTTTATATATCACTCTCCTATCTAAATTCAACAACCATAATCCTATATATACAGTCCCTAACAGCAAAACTAACCAAATCAGACTTCCAATCACAGCAGATTATTCTACCGAATAAAACACATTCTGCCGAGTTTTCTCGGGATGATAAATATTTGCCCCGAGTAAACTCGGGATAATGAGGGAGGCGGTTAACAAATGAATCAAGTTACTTACTTTGCAAAGCCCAGTTAGACTCGATATTCTCCACTATTTCAATTAAATCATCTCCGCAACTCCTTACTCCTCTAGGAGCGTTCCCTGTAGGTACAGTGTCCATAGGATGGCTCTTGAGAAGAAAAGCTGCTTCTGGAAAAGATGTGAAGCGTAATAACCACTGCTCATTTACCATCGCTAGTTTTTCAAAAACATTTTCTCCCTCCGAAACAACAAAAAGGGCAATAAATAGAACAATAAATGTTTTCATGATTTCATTTAAACTTTCTCCATTCGGCGTTACTTAGGAAAAGAACGCGTAAGTTTCTTTTATCGCGTTTTGATACAATAAAGAAAATAATTTCTGTTTTAATCAGATAAAACAATGATTTTTTTATCGGATTTATCAGAAGTGGCTTTTCAAAACAATAATCGAGTTAGAATTAGGAACCACAATAAAACGCTTACAAATCATAACAGTTAAGAATTCACTTTACATTTAAAGAATGTATTTATAATAAGATTGTTTATTAGTGTCTTCTTTATTTACAATAATTCATATGGAATTTTCATGAATGAATGAAAAGAGTCACGTGATTTATTTGTTCCGTAGAAAATGAGGTACTCAAGCAGCAGCGAACATGGATAAATCACGCGCATGTAATCGTGCATATCTATTGCCAAATATAAATCACCTGATCGACATAAAAAATGTTACATATCTTCAATTTTATCAACAAAAAAGAAAAACCATTTAATCTTTTTATTTATTTGGAAATAAATGCCCGATATTATTTTCTTTNCCCCCCCCCCCCCCCCCCGAGTTTTTTAACAAAATTATATTCCCGTGATCTATCGTGAATATGTCACGCTATAAATATCAATTATTAAAATAATTATAAACAACAAGAATTATCGAAAAGAGTAATATCGTGACATTATTCTCTACTTTTTTTATTTATTAAAAGCCATAATAACGTGTTAACTATCGACAATGATAATTACTAGAGAAGACAATATCGCATGTCAGGATGACTCAGGGTGTAGGGCACTCGCCTCTATGGGACTAGGGAGCGCTCTTCACTGCCTATACTTCCGGGTTCTTAGTGTGCTTTGAAGCCATCACAACGTGATCATTGTGTTTTGAGACTGTCTTTAGCAGTATTCCATGCATTCTGTTGCCCGATTTATTATTTGTGTCTTTTTTTAAAAAAGGAATCGTTATAAGAATCGTCATTTGATGACCAGTCATTTCAAGACGTAAGAATCGCCATTAGAAAAAAGGAATCGTTATAAAACATGTGGGGAGAGTAGATATCTTCACTGCCTATACTTCCGGGTTCTTAGTGTGCTTTGAAGCCATCACAACGTGATCATTGTGTTTTGAGACTGTCTTTAGCAGTATTCCATGCATTCTGTTACCCGATTTATTATTTGTGTCTTTTTTTAAAAAAGGAATCGTTATAAGAATCGTCATTTGATGACCAGTCATTTCAAGACGTAAGAATCGCCATTAGAAAAAAGGAATCGTTATAAAACATGTGGGGAGAGTAGATATCTTCACTGCCTATACTTCCGGGTTCTTAGTGTGCTTTGAAGCCATCACAACGTGATCATTGTGTTTTGAGACTGTCTTTAGCAGTATTCCATGCATTCTGTTACCCGATTTATTATTTGTGTCTT